CATTATTTGAACCTTTTAAGTTTTACAAGTCTTGGTTCATGCAAATAAGCTAGTTTTGTTATATCATTCACACCACATTTCAATTTTAAAAGTCCTGTCCGCACAAAAAATAATGAATTATTCACTCTCAAAGATTACAAAAAGTCTTAAAAGGAAAGTTTGAAATACAATTCAAATGCGTACAAAGATTTATCATTCAATTTGACAGCTTTTAAAGGTGAACCGAACCGAACCGAACCGATGTTGAACCAACTCGATAGATGGATTTTAATTTGTACACATCAATCCTAAATGGCAGCCACGTCAACATTCCGTTAAATCTTAACCTAATTTTTAACGGCAAGGACTAAATCGTAACCAATTTTAAAGTACAGGGACTAAATCGTTACTTTTGAAAGTTCAGGGACCAAATCGTAACTTTAATGAAAGTACAGGGACCAAATGTATTTTTTAACCTTAATTTTTCAAAATCACCATCCAAGTGATACCTTAAAACCAATTTAAATTAATTTTAAACTTCTCTAAAATTTATGTAAATAATGTTAGAAAAGAGAATGGTTTTTTTTTACAAAACTTAAATTATAAAAAAAAGATAATGTAAATAAAAATAAAATATGAAAAAACTAATGCCTCCTATATATAAAAAAATAATTAAATTATAATTTTTACTAATTTTATTTTCTAACATTTACTTTATACTTTCAAATAAAACTACAAATTTCACGTGCAACGCGTGTTTCTTACTAGTTAGTAGTTATACAAAGTACTACTAACATCCCTTAGGGATCATGATGCAGTAATCACGACCCTTTTCATGAACGCGATAAATTTCAGCAATACATCCTCTTTTGTTCGTGGTCTTTTCAATCCAAAAGAAATACTCATCACATCTCTTCTCTTGAGAAAATCTGTTGTAACTTCTGCTGGTGGCGATGGCGGTTTTCAAAGTGGTGTGTAGTCAGTCAAGTGAATCCTGCATATGTATAGGGACATTGAAAAAGACTTGTATGAGCCGATTTATGATAGTAATATATTATTACCCCTTGTGCGTCTGTCTTGTAGCAGCTTAAATTCCTTTTTCTCAATGAAGTAGTGGAGCGTGGAAGATGTCGGAGATGGGCTATCTTCCAGCATAAGGTCGGCGAGACAGAACTCCAAGTGTACTAGTAATTACTCATAGATCATTGTACTACTGATCAAAGTTTTAAATGTCCATCAAAATTTTCAAAAAAAAAAAAAAAGTCGATATCATATAAAAGGCTTATTTCTCAATTTTATAGGAATGTAGATAAAAATTAAATATCGATAAAATGTCGACGTTGATAGATATTTCTAGAAAATAAAAAATATAAAAAACTATTTAAATGAACAAATAGGCTGTTCACGGTTGTTAAATAAGTTAAAAATCTTACTACTAATATTATATTCATAGTGATATTTTTGTTAATTTTTTTTATGATATAATTGAAATATCTACTATCTCTGATAGCGATGTCGAAATCATAAATATATGAAATGTTGCAACATTATTCTATTGTCAAAAAAAAAACAAATCAAGGTTTTAAATGTCAATATAATAGAAGCGTCGTCTCAATTTTATCGGAAATGTTGATGTGAAAAGATATTTATAAAAAAAAAATTATATAAAAAATATTTAAATTAACAATAAACCTTTCACTATTTTGAAATAAAATTATTCCTATTAATATTAAGTTGATATTAGTGAACATTTCTCATTATTTTGGCGATTTTTTTCCCTGCTACAATCTCAATATTCACTGTGTCAGAACCCATAAGTTAAAATTCAGCTCATTCTTCCACTTAAGAGACTTGATCAAAACGAAAATTTTGAGAGCGAAAAAGACTCCGAAATTGAAAGCTTTCTAAAGATAGATTGTGGTGGAGAAAAAAAATAGCCAAACATGGTGGATTACGTTATGGCTTTTAACAGCACTATAAATTTCGAAGTCAGAAGTCTTATTTCACAAATAAAAAAAACAAAAAAAAAAGAAGTCAATCTGGTGGGTTAATAAAATTCAAGTCACCGTCCATTATGGCCATCCCGGAGAGATTTCATGCCGCCGCCGCCGCCCGTCGGTTAATAATTTTAGGCATGGCATGTCTCTCTTGTATGGCCTGGTGCAGCTCTGCCGTTGCACCCAATTTTTTCGGTGACTTCTCCGACGGTCGTGGTCGTTCCCTTCTCGAGGCAGCACCCGCCGCTCCGGCTGGGGCCGCTCCAGGGGGTGGGAAGGTTATCGATGTTAAAGTCCATGGTGCCGTACCTGATGGCAAGAAAGATAGCACACAGGTAGGATATTTACCATATGTTAAGGATGAATAAACATACTCAATCTAAAAGCTTAAGGTCTAACTGATGAGTTCAGTACTAAACCAATTGAGTTGGAAATATGCAGGCATTCATGAAGGCGTGGGTTGAAGCATGTCATTCCACTGGTCCTACAAAACTGCTTTTCCCGGCGGGAACGTTTCTTATCGGACCAGTGGTATTCGCCGGGCCATGCACTGCCTCGCCCATGACGGTCGAGATTCAGGGAACCGTCAAAGGTTCGACGGATGTTTCTCAATATTCTGGACCGGATTGGATTCTGTTCGAATCCATCAACGATCTAACGATCACCGGGAGCGGAACCTTCGACGGGCAAGGTCAGGAAGTATGGAAGTTCAACGATTGTAGCCAAAATCCCAATTGTGTTCTTCTTGCACACTCAATCAAGTTAAACAAGGTGAAAAAAGGATTGGTAGAGCACATTTCTTCGGTGAACGCCAAAGCCTTTCATATCTTCTTGTTTGCTTGCAACGATATTAGATTCAACAACCTCAAAATAATAGCTCCTGGCGAGAGCCCCAACACAGATGGAATTCACACGAGCGAATCTAATCTTATCAATATAACAAACACCTTCATTAGTACCGGAGATGACTGTGTTTCCATTGGTCAAGGCACCACCAATATCCACGTTCACAATGTCACCTGTGCTCCAGGTCATGGGCTCAGGTACGTAATATAAAGATCGAAACTTTTCAAAATTTGAAATAATATTATATGCAAATTTTGTAGTACCTAACATATATGCAAATTTTGCAGTGTGGGAAGTCTAGGAAAATACAAAGATGAGAAGGACGTTATGGGAGTTACTATCACAAATTGCACATTGAGAAACACCACAAATGGATTAAGGATCAAGACATGGGCTGATTCACCTCCAACCCAAGCTTCCAAAATCAGTTTCCAAGACATTATCTTAGATGCAGTCAAAAACCCCATTATCATAGATCAAAGCTATGGCTCCAAAGATAAGAGCAAACCCGTAAGTAATACAACTAGCCACAAAAACGTTACTAAACAATCCATAAAGACTTTTTGATAACGATCATGATCCTATTATTATATATTACCGTGAGTTTGATGCATTATTAATATTGTTGTTCATGTGTTGGATATGCATGCAGCCATCTCAAGTGAAGATAAGCGAGGTCAATTACAAGAACGTTCGGGGTACGACGATTTCGGTCGTTCCGGTTTCGTTGCAATGTAGCCCTAAAGTTCCATGCGAGGGCATCAAATTGGAAGAGATTGATTTGTCCTTTGTTGGCTCTGATAAGAAGATGACAGCTTTTGCAAACGCATGTGTGAATGCCAAGATTACGACCGTAGGAAAACAAATCCCACCAGCTTGTGCTGTTTAATTTTGAAATATTCATATATATATAGCTCACATTCTTTCAGATTTTATACATAAATCTACTTGTCAATCCGAGTTTATCTCATTGGATAAAGACATTTATTAATTAATCATCTCTCAAAGTGTCAACGATTTAATCCCCATCCCTAGCGAATTAAATTTTCTGTCTTATTTACTGCAGCGAAGAATCAAAGTTATTAATTAAGTCATCATGTACAAAATAATTAAAATTTGTAAAAAGAAAGCTAATATGCGATTAGATTTTCTTGTTTTGTTGACATAGACAAGTAGGTAAGTCACTAAGAAATGCATCTTTTCATGTGCAGTTGAATTTTGCTTGACAAGCTTATGCATGGGTCCAAATGTTTTAATTATAAAGTAATAATTTAATAAATCATCCATTATTTTGTTAACAAATTTCAACAATTTTTGTATGGAAGAACCTAATTGAGACTTTTTTTTAACATTGTAAGAGTTAAATGGAGAATTTTAAAATATTAAGGATTAAAATTGAGAATTATACTAAAAATTAGGAACTATTTGGTATACTTGGCCTATATATATCTTTGAAGTCCAAATTTATTTTTGGTTGATAATAGTTTTCTATTTTTATATAATTAAGAATCTTTTAGATTGGTGTTTGTTGATTACCTGGCATTAGTTTACAAATATATTACCCTTTTTTTAGTACTACAAATTTATGTTTATATATAACTTATAAACATGGAACAATTTTTTTTTCTTAAACTACCACCCTTAAGTAATTTCTTTATAGAGTTTAAATTTCATTAATTTATCTCTTTATATCTTAAAGCATAATAGAAAGACTTAGAGTGAATTTAAAATTGTTTAAATATCTTTTGAAAAAAATTGTTTTTAAAAGAAACATTTATTTTCTAAGCATTAAAAAAACTAATTGTTTAAAAAACAAAGAATTAAATTGTTCGTTGAAAAGCACTTTGTGTGCTTCTTATCTATTTATAGAATTTTTTTATTATAGAAAATTTAAATAAGTGCATTTATTTTGTTAAAAACACATAGATCGTAACCAAATACTATCGTTTCTTGTTTCCAAATTTCTTGTGAAAGAAATTTTGGAAACAATGAAAAGAAGTTTTTTGTTCTCATTTCCAATTTGTTCCAAAAACATAAATAAAAATATTGTTTTATCATACTTGTAGACACCGTATTGTAGACACCGTATTTGGTCCGACTCGCTTTCGTTTTTTTTTTAATTTTATTACTAATTTATTTATTATTATTTTTTTATGTTTATTGATTTAGTTTAAAATAACATAATTTACTTTATTATAAAATTTAATGTAAAGTTTTAATTGAATCAAATTAAGTTTTAAAATTAGATTTTATTTGAAAATAATTGGTTTTTTGGAGGGCTGGAGTGGGGAGGAAAGACAGACAGAACCCATACAGAGAAGAATTCACTTCTTTCTCTCTACCATCACCTTCTCTTCCTCTTCACCCAGGCCGGCAACCCCGACGATACATAGACTACACACGTCCCCCGGTGATCACAAGTTCAGACCAACCTGCACCACAGTAGTCCAGCGCAAAGTTCTACAACCGACGCACGGATCACCGAC